AAACACGCCGTTTGGGAGCTTTTAACTTAAACGCCTGTCTAAACCCTTTGAGATATAACAAAATAATGTATGGTGGAATTGTGTATCTTATATAGGTCTACAGAAAAGTCTGCGATGGCATGTCTATCTCTTAAGGATAACATACTATATCCATTTTAATTTAAAACGTACCCAGGGACGAACCCGAGCGAAGCGATGGCGAGTCGCTAGTTTATCGAATTATCAACCTTTTACGTACGATACAACCACTTTTGGAGTGAAAACTAAAACAACCTAGTAACCTACTTTTAGTTAATTTAAAATAGATTTAGGTGTATTTTATGAGACCTAGATTTTGAATATAGAGGATCAGCAAAGAAAGGCACGCCGCCAGTTCAAGGAGACGTACACATTCTATCTTACTACGAATTGTGCATCGAATACATGGAGTAGATATTACAAGATAACAAACTATTTATTTTAGAATCCACTTTAAATAAATGGCGTAACTTGGTAGACGAATTTGTCTAAGTCTTATCGATTGTATTGACGTTTCAAAGTGCGTGTCTTTGTATCTCATATTATTTACTCATGTGGTATATGAGTAAAATAACAGCTGTAGCGTCTGTATCCTACGAACTTTGTTACTTTTCTAGTAAATTGAGTTTGGTACATATTATTTTCATTCAACCAATAACATGACGTACACTTTACATAAAAGTATATTTTATAAATGGATATCGATATTAATTTTAATGCAAACCGATTGTTGTCAAAAAAAAAACAAAAAAATATATAATTTACGAGTATAACTATTGATTTTTTTACTACAATACTGTTTGAGGTGAAAATAGGTTAACATTTCCTGAGACATTTTTTTATTGTAACAATATGTATATATTTTATATTTTAAAAGAATGTTTATATTAAAAAAATCTAAGTAATACACTTAAAATTTCACCAAAAAAACTTGCCTTTAGTATTTTTTTTAAATTTCCTGAATGCCGCTGAAAGGTACACATACAAAGAGAAGTCATTTAAAAATTTTATTAAATATCCACTCCATACATTTCTTAATAGCAAAGCATGCACTTCATTTGACCGGTTAACATTTTGCAAAGGTTAACTACACATATGCCACTTTAGTATCGTCTCCTTATTTATATAGCGTTAAAGTTCAAAATCACATAAAAAATTATAACGACACCTGACATAGCTGTATAAAATGTAACTGGGTCTTATTTCAGTTGGCATAAGGTCTATAATGAAAGAGAAATTTCATTACTTTATATTATATTAAACCGTATTACTGAATATTACTCTTAAAATACATGATTAGTTCATATTTTCGAAGTGTTATCTTATAATTAAAAATATACTACTTTTTGACCGCAACTTCGCGTGTGTCTATATCAAACTGTTCTACAATAATGATAAATTATCCTCAAAAAAAATTATATCAATCTTACAAGATATCAAATATACATTATATACTTTTTTATCATTGAGAAAAGCATTTACGCATACCATTTACCTATTTACAGGTGGTTATGTAGGACTTACCGTTTAAAAATCCAGTACTACCTACTAAAACCCAACGGAACCTCCTCCGTTCTAATAGGACGTCGAAGGTTAAATAAAGCACTCAACCCCGATACCTCGACAGTTGCCTATTGAGACAGACCATAAAAACCAGACTCCCACTCTTCCTTCTGCTATCAAAGAAGCAACTACGAACAACCCAGCACATCTCTGACCTTCACACTCGGCTGAAATGCCGGACGCTAACGACTAAATTATATTATATAATACTAGGTTGATTATACATACTTTCATCCCCATTTTCACCCTCTCAAGGGATGATTTCCAGAATAAAAAGTATGTATCCTATGTCTTTCCAAGGGTCTCAAACTATCTTCTTACCAAATTTCATCTAAATCGGTTCAGTAGATCCAGAGATTACCCCCTACAAGGTCACGAACTGAAAAATTTTACCTCTTCATTATATTATTATAGATTACTTGTTATTTAAGCAGTATTATTGCTTTATATGTAATTTAAATTACTGGACACTTTTGAGACGCTAATTGTGTGTCTTGAGTTTTTGCCTACTTTGAGACGGTAAGGTAATAATTCTATATTTTTAACAAAAAATAATATAAAAACAACAATGACTTTGAATGAACTTAGAAATCGATGTAACAATAAATGTGTGTGTATTCAGCCCTTTTTAACGTCCCACTGCTGGGCACGGGCCTCCCTTCAATACGAGGGGGATCAGGCCATAGTCCACCACGCTGGACAAGTGCGGGTTGGCGGACTTCACATGCCTTTTCAGACATGCAGGTTTCCTCACGATGTTTGCTTGCACCGTAAGGCGAGTGGTAATCATGCTAGAAATGATTCGCACATGAAAATATCAAAGGCGCGAGACCCGGGGTTTGAACCCGGTTCACTCGGTTTCCCAACCGAGCTCGTTACCACTGGGCTACCACTGCCTAAATATGTATAAATGTATGTACCGATTAAATTTATAAAAAACGTACCACAGTTTCTAGATAATTGCTGACAAACGAACATAGTGTCACATTTAATTAGAATGTAAGTCTCGAGTGTAAATTACATTAGATCAATTCCCACGGTATGCAACTCAAAGTGCCGACTAAATTACGCTTTAAATATTGCAAAACGATATCTTGTGGAATACCTAGTCTATAATAATAATATATATGTAAAATAAAAATCAGTAAATCTGTTCATTTCAATTTTTTCGTCCTATATAATTGTCAAAAGAAATTCAAAATGTAATTCACACTTAAAAATCAAATTAAGCCGTAGGTTGTCAGTTCGATGCTCGTTTAAAGGCATTTTTTTACGATTAAAGTATTATTAAAATAAACAAAACAATATTTATTATCATAATTAGTTTGTTTGGATGTTACATATTAATGATTAAACAATTATAGCAATGAAATAAACTTTCAGGTTATAGTTTACACTATATAATATGTTCGTGTATTATTTCTTTAAATTTTTTGCAGTGAAAACTTCTTTAGGCAGGTTTGGATGGGGAGTAATAGTAAATTCATGTAAGTCGTCATCGACATGGTCACGTGACGTGTTCACGCTAACACTCAGAGTGCCGATAGATGTCAAAACCAGATAAATATAAACAGTTTTAATTTAAAAAATTTAATTTAATATAAAACAATGAATTTAAATATCCAAAAAAATAACAACTGTTTGTTTATAGTTTTAAGTTTTCACTTCTATCGTCAGTCCTCATGACTGCTTTTTTTGATAGATCGTTAGTCTATGAACGAAGGGATATTTATCGATAATAAGTAAACTTATAATGTATCTTAAAACATTTATTATACTGAATCACAGAAGACATTCATTTTCATTAAATACATAACGATCTTACTTGGCTTTCGCTCACGACTGCGATTTATAATATAATTTAAAAGCAATATAATATAATTTAAATAAATAAAAAAAAAGTATAAGAACCTCTTAAAAATAACTAAATAATAAATAATATAATATGGTACATGTATTCACTTATTTAATTCTAATAGCTCCATCTGTTGTGGAATAGGAAAACTATTTCTATGAAAATAAAATCTCAGTAATGACAACACAATATGTATAATATTATGTCTAAAACATCATTTTCAAAATGAGTTAATTTGTTTGCTAAATTTATTTATTTTTTTAATTGAAAAAAAAGCTTTTGTGCCATAGTTATTTTTTTTTATTTAATGCCAGTATTATTGAATGTACTATACGTTCAATAATACTGGAATTAAATTTTTTTTATTTATAACTTTTGTTTACTTATTAGTTATTACATACAAGATAACTTATTGGTTTACTGCGTTTAGTTATTAGAATTAAAATAATATTTAAAAAGTGCTACACCATATTTTAATGTAACTTTAAAGTTATCGAAGGTCGAAATATTATAATATTTTAAGTACAAAATTAAAATTAAATAAATTATGTAAGGCTATACAATTAATATTTTATATTATAATCTTACTTTGAGTGCTATTAGCTTAAAAATAACTTAAAAGAAATGTAAGTACATGGCAATTATAATTAAAGCCAGTGATTCCCAACCACATTTGGCTTACCCCAAATATTTCTTAAAATATTTTTTTTTCATAAAAAATAATAATAATTTTAAACCTTGCAATATAATAAAATGTTACGTATATTTGGATATAAGTAAAATAATAAAATGTCATGAGAAGAAAAAATGTTATGAAAAGAAATTTTGAACGAGTAGGTAAATGAATTTGCCAAAGTTAAACTTTAACATATACCTTTCTTCCATGTTATAAAATAGAGAGTTATCTGTCTTTAATGTCTTTAACTTCTTTCTCTATGATTCATATTGATTGAGAACTCTGAATTAAACCATTTTCTTATTAATACATAACCGTGAGCAATAACTAAAATGATACTTAGTCTAAAATAAGTTAATATACATGTATGTATAATGTAGGAACATCGCATTATCATCGGCGGGTAACTCAGTTGGTCTTTATCTTGAATGTCTGAAACAATGTTATATTTTATTAAATAAGATATTATTGTGAGAGTATTAACATTGTTATGCCCCTTAACAGAATTTCGATCATAGTGTGTGTGTGTGTATGTGTGTCTTGTGTTATGTGTTACATATACAGTAGTAAAGCACACAAGTATCTTTTGTAAGCAAAAGTCCTCATAAGCTCTTGAAAAATTCTTTGACAACAACATCCTATAGCTTCCTTGGTGCGATTCCGATTAGACCAAAAGTCAAAATGGTATAGAAATGAATGTAGTATAATTAAGAAAAGCAGTTCTAGTAGGGAATTTGATTCCTAGTTGGAACGATTTATACTAGTCGAACAGGTGACACAAAATTAGTAATAGATCTCTTATAAAGTTGGCAAATCTAAAAACTTTATTCGAAGCAAAAATCTAAATAAAATGCTGATTTAAACGAAAGTTACAAAAATACCTGTTCAAACTTTAAGAGGATATAAGAACGTTTCGATCACGTCTTTTCCGAATGCGTTTTTAGCCGTGCAGGTATATCCACCCATATCGTCCCATGATAGATCGGCTATATGAAGATCACCAGAGGGTAAAACCTGTAAAAAAAGGATATTATATATTTTTTAATTACCTTCCCTTCATTGGTAGTCAAGAAAAGTCTTTGTAGGAGTGGAAATAGTAATAAGTTTGTCAATAACAAAGGTAGGTAAAGTATCTGGACTTTGACCCACCTTTTTGCATCGAAATTAAAGCTTAAAAAATATAAAAATGATGGGCTTTTAGTACTTTCTCTCTGAAGCATTTTTTTCTATTTGCCCATTTACGAGTGAAGTCCTTGAAACTTTTAATAATATTATATTTCTAATAAAACAGTCAAATACAACTGATCACAAAGAACTCCACATTTAAATACCTCATACGTTTTACGAAATTTAGATCATTTATTTAAGTCTTAAATATTACTTACCCTAAGCCTATTATTTCCATACACAATATCTCCGTTGTTGTCTAACCAGATGATTTGTGACTTAGTAGGGCTGTCTACACGACAAGGCAATGTCGCACTCGAGCCCGAATATTGGAATATATTGTTATAGAAGGTTGTGATTACAGGTTTTGATTGGATGATAGAAGTAAGTCGTTGAGGTTGATTTTCCCCTGGAAACAGCAAACGATCCTTTATAAATATAAATTTTGTACACGAAAATCGGAACATAAACACATTCACACGTTGTATATCTGTTATATTATTAGTTGTAAAATCAAAAACTTATTGGTAAGATGATTTGTTTTATATCTAAGTAATCTAGCAATAATTTTATACTTTTTAATGATTATCGATCATAGTGATATCTGATTCCTACTAGTAATAAATAGCAATTCTCTTATAAATGACTTAGCTATAATTTTATTTGTGATTTTATTCATAACTGAATTTAGAAATCTAATTTAAATAATAAAAGCGTTTTGACTAATAATTTTGCTTTTTTTTCGTAATTTAGCATTATCTTTTGATTTTACAATTACAGGTATAGGTATATATATATATATATATATATATATATATATATATATATATATATATAGCAATATCGACAATACGCATTTTTATTCCTTATTCTATATATAAAGCTGTATGTATAATTAAAAGAAATAAGATTCTTAGATATATCGTTATTAATATTTGTATTTACTTCATACATACCAACAACAATAACTGCTGTAGAAGCACTAATCTCCAGAAGGCCAGAGGTCCCTACGCAAGAGAAGATGTCGCCGTTCGAAGCAGAACGTAATACCAATTTGCTTGTCATTTCAGTAGGACTGAAGGAAGGTATGGAAAGAATTTCATTCACATCTTCTTCAAACTGAAAATATTAGATTTTATATTATTATTTAAATATCCATATCTACTGGGGTCTCGTTATATTTATGCTTTAATAGTTTTAATCATATTTTAAAAATGAGGCAAAATATAAATTGTTCAATTTTGATTTAGAGTTACCTACAGCTTGCACAAGAAAACATAATGTTAGGACTTACGTCAGTAATAGGTACACCATTTTTCATCCAATTAACGACTGGCGACGGGTTTCCTCTCATCTGACAAGTTAAAACAAGGGTAGTTCCTGGCAAGTGTCTTACAGTTTCAGGAGGTGGTGACATTATCCTGATGTAATTTCGAATCGTACTATGCCGCGTGGTTGGTAATACTGGAATTAAGAAGATTTGGCATAAGTCCCATATCATAAATAAAGTATTTCTAAGTTGTTTAGACTAATATATTAAAAAAATAAAATAGAGGTAGTAAAGTAGCTGAAAAGCAAATGTTGGTAGGACAGCAAAATTACACTGTTATTTCATATTTTTTTATGTTATGTTGTAATATGTAATATTTTATTTTTTTCAGAAAACTTTTCAGCATGGATAATTATTATAATGGGAAAAATTTATTCAATGCGTATAAAACACTGAAAACACATTTTTTTTATAAAAATTGCCTTTCGTCTTAAGAAAATTGACAATTTCGGGCAAACAATTATACCAAGAGCTTGCAAATGATATCTTGGAGTAATTTAATAATAATTTTTTAACGCTAAAATATTATTTCGTTTTTTTAACTATTTTAGTAATATAGAATAGTTTAAGAACATTAATTTAAAAAATTGAAAATTTAACATTTGTTGACTGATTCTTTAAAAACAATAGCTTGAATAAGACAACAATATGTCAAAATTTCAAAACCTTTCTGATAAGATTATAATGGTTTTTTAATAAGTCTTAAACAGTTTGAATTAATATAATAGAATTGAGTAAAAAAAACCTACTAAGATTTAAATTTCAATTCGTCTTTTAAAGGCTGTCGAGAAAAAAATGATAATGCCATGACTTATCAAACTCTAAGAAATAGATGATCGAAAAATTCACCGCTACAATTTTTTTTTTGCGCGAAAAACTTTATTACACTTTGTAATAGTCTGGAACTTTGTAATTCAATCACTATACCAGATGGCCAATTTATGCTGCATATTGTAGTAGCAACTTTTTTCTTTCAACGTTAAAGATTTGGTTCAATAAATTTAAAAATTAATTTGATTTCTCTGTCTCTAAGTAGACCTAGTGGTTTTCTTTTTTATATTGGAAAAAAAATTGCAATATCATGGTAATATCATGTCGTCTGTTAACCTTAATTAAGCAGCAATTTAAAATTTGTTATGTTAAAATGATACTGTACAAAAACATTTAACCATAAACTAAATATTATTTAGCTTTATTCTTATTGTATTTCATACTTAATTATTTGCTATTTATTTAACTTTTTAGATTATAGATTTGGTCCATGTTCCATTTTGTTGACAATATTGTTCTTGCAAGTCATTTCAACAGCTAATATGTATAATAAATATATTGTAGGTGTTAGAACTTAAAATATTTGTTTAAATTCAACTAAAGTTAACCAGGAATGTCTGGTAAATTTGATTTCCACATGAAATTTTCCTCCTTTTTATTTTTCCATTCAGTATAAAAGATTGTTTATTAATGATTATAAAAGTACTTCAACAGCTTTTCATATTTTAATATCCAATAAAATAAGTACGTAACTAAAAATACGCATGAGTAAGTACTTTAAAAGTAATTATTCGCAATAATTTTTATAATTCGCAATTATTGCTTAGACGCAGGTTTTTTTCATTAAATTAATATAAGCTATTGACATATAATCTGCTTATTAAAAAAATTCTTAGCCAAGATATCGGCTATCATATCGACACACAAAAACAGAAAATAATCGCATATATGAGTCTAGGAATGATATCATCCGTACTTATACAATTTTGTTTGAAATTCTCTGGACAGCTGAATATTATAACTTCCTCGTAGACATAAAATATGATATATGTATATTGTATATATTCAATGAATTGCTTGTTTTATTTCATGACAGTTGATTTTTTTATTATTTTTGACTATTTCACTAAAGCTAGTTATAACCCTGCATAGCGATTCATAAAGTATATATAGATAAATGTTCGCGAGTGCTGGTGTGCCGGACTTTTACGCGTTAGTAAGATCACGAATAGCGTCCCTGATGCGGCGAGTGCGCGATAGCCCCAATAGACTTGTAGCCACTGTGGCTAAAAGATTTGACAATAGCTTATTGTGGCATTGGATAACGACACATAGGTCGTCATTTAAATACGTTAAATAAAGGTTCCTATTAGTATTAAGTTCAAAGTTATTGTTAAATATTAAATTTTAAATGTTGTTAGGTTATACATATTAAACTATGGACCTGTGTCTGATTGAAAATTAAATAAATAAATAAATAAAGTGTATAATATACTAAGCTTTAAAAGCAATTATATTTCTATTCTAAAGTTCTAAACGTTATACTATCACAACTTATATTTATTCTTTATTCTTTTCAGTATAATATATATTTTAACCAATGAAATATTCTCTAAGTCTAGGCACTTTAATTTTTTTATATTAGTGATGCGCTTTTTTGATACACTTCTGGGAATAAACTTTTTTTATAAAGATATTACACAAAAACACTTCCACTCGATACTCCGATTATGATATTTCCGTAAAATATTAGTACATGGATTTTACGTAACAAAATATTATTAATAAAAGAAACATTTTACATACCATTTGGTTCCAAATTATTATTCATTTCGACTTTGCCATTGATTTGAGCATATACGACGCACTGCAGCGACAACAGCGCCGCCGCGGAGAGTAGCGAAACTAAGCTGTTCATATTTCACGATACTAGATGGCGTTAGCTAAATATTAAACCTGAAATAAAATATATATCACATAAAAATTAAGTAAATCATTCACTTTTCTGTTTTATAAAGAAATTTGTGATGATAAATAATATGGTTTTTAGTTTAATTTATTTTTTAATCTTCTTCATATTAAACGGATAGTATCTTATGATTTTTAAATGAATGTATATACATAAGTAGTGATTAAAGTATACTTCATACAAAATCAATCAAGTATCGTAAAATCTCTTTTTAACCGACTACCAAAAAGGACGAGGTTCTCAATTCATCAGAATCTTTTTTTTTGGGAAATGAAATCTTTTAGGAAATTATTGTGTTTTGATTAATTTAGAAACTACAAGCTTTTTTATTTAATAAAAATAGTATGATCAGTTATTTATTAAAAAATAGAATTAAGACAAATATTTCATAATAGAATTATTTTATAAGCTAGGTATATTTAACACATACATATTATTTTCACAGGTCTTTAACGATTTCACTGTATTTTAAAGTATATTTTATTATGAAAATTAACCAAAACGTAATAGTTTGAATAGTAGTATTCTAAGGAAAACTATTAAATCCTATTCATTAATTTGTAGCTTCATAAAACTCTACCAAAACTTTTATTTCTTATAGAGTTTTAATTTTGAAATTTCTAAAATACCATACCATACATCTACTTGTTGCGAAATGTGTGATTATTTCATATTAAAGACATAGTTTTATTTTCATATTCAAGGAATTTTATATCTTACTATGAAAAAATGACTTTCTTCCACGACATTGGAATTTTTTGACATCACTCTACATTTTTTTACTTTACAAACCAATTTCAAAATATTTTAATAATTTTGTTCATAACTCTAAATAACCCTAACTATCCAAAAAATAAAGAAAATCGGAAGGCAATAGAATATAAAATATGTATAATACATAATTTTAAAATGTTCACATGCTAACCGGTATATTTGTAAATGATATGATGATGATAATGAAACTTGTGTGAAATATTTTAATAGCAAATCAAAAAATATATGAAAATTTAATTTAATAATATAAATAACTATAAAATCTTAAAAATATCTAAAAAATAACTTTTACACGATATAAATCTAATTACGTACCTCAAAGATCACAGAATACGCGCACTTTTTATTTATATAATAGATGTTTTCTGGAATAGCGTTTTCAAACGAGTACGACACTTCAATAGAATTCATCCCTTATATATGCGCGCGATGTGGTTTCACACTACGCGATTTTTCGCCGAAGTAGAATTCTGATTATAATATTATTATGCCTATATATTGAGTTTATTTTTTATTTTAATTATACATTTATATGTAATTATCAAATGATTATTGATAATATAATAATTATTAGGCTTTATATATTATATAATAATATTTCTAATTATTAAGCTAACGCCTGACCAAATAAAGCGTCCACCTTCGAGAACCAAACCCACGACCTTTATAATTACTAAGACACATAATATGAAGATTACTCATTTCATTTATTTATAGATATTTAAAAAAATGTATTTAATAAAAGAGACTAATGTAAAATGTCTTCCATATTATATAATAAGTAATGACACATTAAAAAAGATTAAAATTTCTCCTTCATTGATTTATATGACTTTTTTTTATTATTTTCGAATAAAAATTTCTGTAATAATTATTGCTAACTTACGACAGTTATAACAGGTTCTTTTCCCCTTAGAAGCAAATCATATTAATTACATGTACAATATTTAGTTCAGATAAAATCAAACATCCATCGAGCGAGAAGTAAAGAGAGAAATTTTAGTCATTTGCTGTTTATGAAATAAAATATTTATTCCAAGTAAACTTAGAAAACTATTAAATTAACAAAATTTAAAAACTATTAAAGGAAGAAAGATTTGATTTTTCGTTTGCCTGTTTGTGCCGAATGGACTCCGAACCTACTGAACTGATTTAGATGAAACTTAGTAAAAAGATAGTTTGAGTCCCTGAGAAGAACATAGGATAGTTTTTATCCCGAAAATCACCCCTAAAGGGGTGAAAATGGTGATGAAACTTTGTATTTTGAGAAACCTAGGGACGAACACGAGCGAAGCAAGGTATATAAATTTGATTATATATAAAAAAAAGTATACTTTTATTACAACTGGCAGCCAGATGTTACATCAGACAGAACAGTTAAGTATTTAATGAATCATAGCAACTAGTTTTATGAATTAAAGTGAATGTACGAGCGGTTACATTGAAATATCTTTCGATGTCAATTAAATATTATATTATTTATGGCATTTTTCCTTATATCGCTTTGACGCTATTTTGTGGAGGTCATGAGTTCCCATAGTCTCGTCCCGGTTTGTTTCCTTATTTTATTTGAAGCTGCTATCATGCTGCCGGTATGGCAGATAGTGAAAATTGTATTAATAGAAAGGAAAAAATAATATTTTCAATAAAATTTTGTTGTTCTTTTTCACCACATATATTATTATCTTGTTTTTCTTGCTGAGAAATACATTATAGCAGAGATCTATATAGATACTAATCTATGATACACTGTTATAATTTCAGCACTCTAATTACGGAGGTTTCATATTGGTAATGAAGCATCAGTCAGGATGAGCATAAATAAAAAATAATAATAAAGAAGGGTATTTACCTCAAAAATAACAGATCAAATTTTCTTAAAAATAAGCTTACTTTTCCAACTATTCAAAACTTTTTCCACGTTGCGATAAAACTACAAAAAATAAACAAAACAAAGTATGTACGAGTAAGTACACTGCGCCACGTTTTGAAGCATGTCGTTACTTTGACGTCTTAAATATTTTTTTAGAGTCATCGAAAACGTTCCAAGCATTGAATTGATCCTACAAATGTTCCTAATAGAGTTTAAATCACTCTGTGCTCTTTAAAAGATTAAGTCAGGAATTACGCGGCCGAAAGTCACGCTACAGCATGCCATTGATGGAATGCCAATTCGACGAAATACTACTATAAGTATGTTAAGAATCACATATCACATTGTGTCAGAATTTAAAATATATAGATAATATAAGCAATATACCTATATGTTATTTGTATGGTAAATGATACGTGTTTCATCAACTTCACACAATGTGGATATAATCTATAAGCCTACCTGTTTCCAGAAAATAATCAAAGAAATCCAAAAAATAGGAAGTAGTTCCTACTTGTACTAGAAATGCGAGAGTATGTTGAAATATTTAGACGTTTGTTACTTAATTACTCATAAACTATTTAACGGATTTAAATCAAAATTGTTATAAGGATAGACCGTGTCCTGAGATAGTATAAAGGGTATCTCTTATTCCAGCAATATTTACGTTGGTTTTTATAATATTATGCTTAAAATTTATAATAAGTAAGGCAATGTAATAATTTCGCTACAAAGTAATTCGAATTAATTTAATGTGAATGGACCATACACTCGGTATCGATCAAGCTAAAACAAATTGGGAGATTACACACTCATGTGTTGCTTGCAAAAACATCATAGATGCGCACAAAAGAGATCGATCTGTATGTTTGTATATAAACTATATGTGTATGAATGCCTCGGTGGTGTAGTGGCTAGCATGTACGGCTGTACACCCGGAGGTCCTGGGTTCGAGTCCTGGGTCGGGCCAAGTTTAGTTATCGAATCTTTCTGTGTAGTAAGCCTCAGTAACAGCCCGGAGTGAGGAAGTTGGCGGTGTTTCACCCCCGTGCCTCGGAGAGCACGTGAAGCTGTCGGTCCTGCGCCTTAACTCTCACTGGTCGTGTTGAGTAGTCGTCCCACCACTCAGTGACAGGAATAGAGAGTGCACTTGTGCCTGCGCGTACACTTGTGCACTATAATATCTCCTGCGCAGTTGGCTAGTCTCAATGAGACTGGCCGCCGTAGCCGGTATCGGCCAGGAGAACATCATATATGTATTAATATCTGTCTCTCACATGACGTCATCATAGTACCGTAACAACCAGATGTAATAAGAATTTACTTCATCAAAATTGAGGAATTACAGGAAACATTAAAAGTTTGGAAATCCCCTTAGACAGACATGATATGATATTGCGTGAGTAACATACTTAAGTCATTAATTACCACTATTACTGATTATAATCGCTTCATGATTGGGAATCTGTGCGTATTAAAAATCACAGTTTTATTATAAATTAAAAAGTGTATATGTATGTATGTATGTATGTTTGTTTCTGATTATCTGTAAAATTGCTGGATAGATTTGAATGAAAATTAATTAATTATTTCTAAATGGTGTTGTTGGTAGGTAATTTCTTAAATGCTTATTTATACTATAATTTAAAAAAATATGTTTATAATTTATATGTTTAATAATATTCTGTTTACTAAACGTCTATTGGTTGTCAAAGTCAAGACATACATGATATATCAATAAAGTTCATTGATGTAATTCGACATTTTTTAAGTATTTATCTTTAACGGTAATCGAATTCACGACCTCCTAAGTAAAGTTATAAGCAGTTTTAACTCCATGTGAATTAATGTTTGCAATTTTAATATTTACAAAATCCACTAATGTGAGTCGACGTTTCGTCTAATGTGATACACCAGAAGTTGATCATTTCAGATCAACATTTACGTATTTTCAAAGTGTCAAAAATATCAATTTTGCATATCATAGATACACTAAAATTCTAAGAAGAAGTGTTATATACCACGGAGGTCGGTGATTCGATATACAAATATAGAAATGAGTAAATTGTAACGTTAGTATGTTTGTTATCTCTCGCCATCTCAAGAACTAAGCTCATTATGAAGAAATTTATCATGCACGTATGGTATAGTATAAGAATACATACATATATATATTTATATATATATATATATATATATATATATATATATATATATATATATATATATATATTTAGATTGCTTTACAAAAGAAATGTATGACCCATACAAACATCCATCAACGAAGATTGAACCTGTTATC